AGAGGTGCCTCCTTGGTGCCTCCCAGACTGGCCCTGGGTTCCTGCGGAGCCGTTGGTGCTCTGGATATTGCATGCACTGCGTCCGCCTCGCATACCCTTGTCAACTCTGGGGCACCTCAGCTGCTCCTTCCTGGCTGTGGACGGGTGCTCTCCCCTCCTAGCCAGGTGTGACTGTCCTGGACAGCCTGCAGGTTGCTCTCTGATGACACAGCTGCTGGAGGGCCTCTGTTATGCGAGGGTTAATAGAGGATTTGTTTATTGAATCTCGAAGTAGCTGTCACATGATTTTAATCAAAACACCATTTCCCTGACAACAGTGATGTCAGTCTTGTTATTGCAGGAAGGAGCAGCTGTGAGGGACATTCAGTCTCCATGCTGAGCCCAGGTTTGGAGACTTTGGAGACTGAAGGTTATGATTAAAAAATTTGTTTTCATTGATTTTAGAGAGAGAACCATCAGTTTGTTCCACTTACGCATTCATTGGTTGCTTCTTGTATGTGCCCTGACCAGGGATGGGACCTGCAACCTTGGTGTGTTGGGACAGTGCTCTAACCATGGAGCTGCCCTGCCAGGGTGAGACTGAAATCGAGGGAAGCATCCATAAATACTGGTTGCGGGCTCCCACTCCTGAACCCAGCCTCCTCTTCCTCTTCCGTCTGTCCGGACAGTACATGCTGCACAGACACTGGCCAGAGCCCAGCCCCACTCCCCGAGTCTCCACTGAGACCTCTCCTTCTGCACACCTTGCTCTTTGTACCCTTGTCCTCATGATTTTTCAGTTTTCCTCATTTCCCTAAACTCAGAGGGTCTTTGGGGACTCTAGGATCTCTGGCCTCTGCCTTCTGACATCTGTCTCTCCCTGCCCCTCCCCACCAGCACTTGCTAGCTTGAGGTGGGGGTCATTCTTCATTCAGGAATCTTGGCTTCTTTTGGAACCAGCTTCCTGGAGGAGAAGGAGGGGCTGCTTGTCCTGTCCTTGTCTCTTGAAAGAGCAGATGAAGGGGGCCTGGGTGCTGCCCAAGGGTCTCCAGGGCAATTCTGAGGCGCTTGGCTGTGGCAAAGCTAGAGGATTAGTTCTCTTGAACCCAGAAAGACTATACAGGAGCCCTGAGTCCAAGCAAACTAAGGACTGACAGGTGGCCAGTCACAGGCAGCTGGAGCAGTGCCCTCAGGTTCCAGCCGCCTTTTGGCACCTTTTCCACTGTGGGGCCTTGGGGACCAAGCATTGGTCTCTGCAGAGAAAGACCCCCAGACCTTCTAACCCTTCTGCACCCAGAAACATGGCCTAAAAGGGGAGACGGATGAAAAAGGCCTCTTTCCAGGTGGGACATGGCTTCTCACGGATGCTCTTGGTACCTATGGCTGTTGCTGCCAACGACTCATCACTGAAAATGAAAAAATCTTAGGCAAAGTTCTTGGGTCCTAACTGGGAACTGGTACTCGGAAAAGGACAGCCAGTCCTTTTTCCTTTTTTTTTTTTTTTTTTTTTTTAATCTGTGTTTATTGACTTTAGAGAGAGGGGAAAGAGAGAGAGAGAGAGAAACGTTGATTGCCTCCCATATGCACAACCTAAGTATGTACCCTGACCAGGAATTGAACCCCCGTCCTTTTGATGTAGGGGATGATGCCCCAACCAACAGCCACACCGGCCAGGGCAAGACAGCCATTCTTGAACAAGTGAAGAGATTCTGCACGCACCAGGCAGCCATTTTCTGTGTCCAGTGTTGAGGCAGTGAGGGTTACATGAAAGCAAGGCAGGTAGAAGTGAGATACTATGGCAAGCCATCAAGGGAAGCTGGGAGCCTTCTGGGTGCTTTCCTGTTAGAAGGCAGTATTACGCCAGGCAGCATTTGAGCCTCATAGTAAATCTAGGAGTTAAGTGAGCCAGTCTGTGTTTCTCAGTACCAGCGGGGATAGTGAACTTTTGCAATGATTTGCCCAGGTTAGTGGCAGAGCTGGGAGAGGTGCCAGGGTCTGAGGACTCAGTCCGAGGTTCTTTGCTGCCTCCTGGCCTGTCCTTGGCAGAGAATGGGTAGGCTCCACCCTGCCGGGGGGGACTTTCTGGCTGGGGTGCCTACTCCAGGAGGTGGGCTGGGAAAGGCCAGGCCCTGTTCTCTCAGCCTTGTTCCCGGACAGGCACGCCTTGCCTCGCCCTTTCATTCCTGGGCCCCTCCAACCTGCCTGTCCTTGGGCTCTCAGTGCTTTGGCACAGGAACCCTGCTAGACGTTAGGCTTCCCTGTGACCAGAGGTCAGTCCTAGTGGGTCCCAGACTGAAGAGCTGGCCGAGGCTGTGAACTCTGGTCCGCCGCACGCTGTGCTTCTGGGAAAGGCTTTGGGGGCTCTCCCTCAGTTCAGTTGTGTCCCACTCCCCAGCTGTGCTGGTGGCCCTGACATGGCAGTGGACTCACTCCTGAGGGTCAGAGTCCTCAGCCAGGCCTCCTGTTGGGCTTCTCTGGCCCCATTCTTCCTCCTTTTCTTCGGGGTATTAGGAGAAAGATTGAGTCAGCACCTCTCAAAGCCTGCCTGGTGGGTAGAGTGACTCAGTTCTCCCAAGAGACTGAATCCCTACCATCTCATTTCTTCTGGGCCCAGCCAGCCCTTGGGGACTCAGCTGAAGCAGGGAGTGAGGTGGGGGGAGTCTGCTTCCCTTGGTGCCAAGTCCTCCCTCCCTGTCCCCGTCTGGGCTCCTGGCCTGGTGGTTCAGCCCTGCGCCCACTCTGCCCAGGCTTCAGGCTCTTGCTGAGTCAGTCATGCCTAGGAGAGTCCCCTAGAAACTTAGACAAACGGAAGTATCAATACTCCCAGGGGCACAACAGGTCCAGAGAAATTCTGCTGTGCGGTGTGTTGACACCTGGTGGGGACATCACAGCAGGGTGAGTGGAGTTGAATGGCTGAAGGCACTTAGCACGCGCCCCGCTCTGCCTGACCTGGTTTCTGGGGTTGGCCTCAGTGATTTGTTGTCATAGCTTCATCCCGGGTGGGGGCAGATAGGCCAGTGATGGATGGCTAGTGTCTGAGGTGAGGGCCCAACACCTTCATTTCACTTAAGACCCGCATCTGTCTCCTAAGGGACATCGCAAAGTAGGAGCCATACACAATATCCTGTCCCTTTAGAGCTGCTCAGCCTTGTCATTTCTGTAAAGTGACATCATAGGCTGGGGCTAAAATGAGAAGGGCAGAGCAGCTGTGGCCTGTGCAGGTGATTTATTTGTAGCCATGTGGCACCCAGGATTTAGTGCACAAAGCCCCGAACTTCCTGCCACGGTGTCCGGGGGCTGCAGGCAGAGCCAGGGCCTCCCTCCCTTTCCTGGGTCCCAGGGAAAGGATCGGGACATGCAGCCAGGAGGGGCCCTGCGAAGAATCAGTAACTGAAAAACACAAGGGGTTGCAGTTGGAGACACTAATGTTCTACTAAGTCAGGGGTTAGAAACACCTTAACTTGGGGTCCATGGATGGGCCCGAGGGGCGCAGGAACCACCTCCTCCCCTGAAAATATCTGTCCAAAGTTGTGTGTGCACGTTTCTGGGGAAGAGTAACCAAAGCTTTCATGAGTGTATCAGAGGGATCTGTGAAACCTCCATTTAAGAACGAATTGGGTGGAAAGGAGCATATGGATGACAACAGAAGCTGGGGGCACTGTCACTGCCCGCCTGGGCAGGGCCTTGGCCGGGGTGACAGAGGTGGGCTCGGGGGAGTGTCACTGCACCCATGGCATCCTCCGCAAGTGTGGGTGGTGCCAGCTCTAGTCCTGCAGCCCCCAGCCCCACCCCGCGCTGAGCCGTTGGCTCTGGAAGGCCACAGAACTGAGGTCGGCCTCTAGGGAAGGAAGAGGTCAGGGGCCTCGCTGGCTGCTTCGGGGCCTGGCTAGTCTGCTGGCAGGTCTGTTATTTTTGCCTGTACCCTGGGCACTGGGGTTGTTTTTGGCAACACAAAAATGATGGAGAAATTTGGTGGGAAAGGGGAAAGTTTGCAAAACATCATTACTGAAATTGAGTGCTTTCCTTAAAAAAAAAAAAAAAAAAAAAGTAATTGAATTTCAGTGTTACTGAATTCTTGGATAACCAAACGGGGGCACCAGTCTTTTGGGGGCCAGGCTGAGTGCCTGTAAGGGTGCTAGGCCAGAACAGGTCTCTGGAGAGGCTCTGGCTTGCTTCCTACCCTTACCTGCCTCTCCATTCCTCCAACTCCCACCCTGCAGCCAGAAGAGGATCCCTGTGTGGGGACTCTCAGTTCTACAGCATGGGCTTAGCTGGAATGGTTTGAGTGAAACCAAATCTGAATTGAATTTGCTGCCATAAAGTAGGATTTAATACTGTGCTTTCACTCACAGTCTGTCCCTCTAGAGAAAGTCCCATAGAGCGGCCTTGAATGTCTTGGCAAATAGTTTCTTCCAGCACCTGAGGGCACTCAGCAGGTGCGTGTCCGTGTGGGGGTCTGCAGTGAATGCTTGAGTTGAGGCCTTTTGCAGGCCCCACAGATCTGTCATTGTGAGTAGCAGTGTCTTGCTGGCTCCTCGTTCTCAGCCCGTGCCCTGCATCAGGCTTGTCCTCGGGGAGCCCGATACGCCCTAGCCCCACTGTGGTGAGGCCCCGGCCAGGCTCCCTGTGCCAGTGCAGGGGCACCAGGCAGCGCCCCGCCTCGCCAGCCGCGGCCGGGCTGCGGTCAGCCGCGCTTCTATCCGTGTTCTGCAGCAGCTAACGTGTGCTTGGCCATTTCAGAGCCAGGTATTATTTACCCTGCTGACGTCAATGAGAACATATTATCCACTGCCCTTTTCTGCAGCCTGAACACGAGCACCAGAGCTCAGGGAACACGGCCACCTACCATGCTTTTAAAAAACCCACCCCAGGCCCGATGAGGTAAAGGCCTGTCTCATTCACCTGACATTCATATCACCCAGGCTCTTAGAAAATAAGTTGCTTTTATTTTAATTCAAGAGTGTTGGAAATGTAAAAACAGCATATTTTTCTTGCAGAAAATTGCCCCATTTAAAGTAATGTTTGATACAAAGATCATTTATTAAACTGCATTTTAGGCTATTTTCTAACATTGAGTGACAGATTACATTTTGATTTTTTCACATTGGAACTATTATGATTTGCACTTAAAATACCAAAGCTATTGAACTCACCATTTATTCCTTAGTTATTAAAAAAAAAAGCACACAGAAAAAATAACTACAATTAGATTAACTTCTTGAAAAGTAACTCTTTTTCAGACCAAACATCCAGTAGAAACCACCATTCTCCCTTCAGAAATAAGCAAATCATCTTGCCCTTTCTACAAAGTGCAAATATCTCTGTATCACTTTTATTTCTTAAATTGCAGTCCGAAGAGGGAAGCAAACCTTTTCTGTCTGCTTTTTTTCCCTTCAGAGATTTCGGTGGATGCAGATTTCTTTTACTATCAGTAGTGGGACGGTATCACCACTTGAATTTCCTTGACTGAGCATATTTGAATGGATGGGCATCACCTAGCCAGTGCCAAGTTTTCTATACTTGTAACGATGATACAATCTGGGGTCATCACTTTTCCAGGATGTTGTAATCCCATTTTTAAAGCTCCCTCTACCTACCCACTCTGCCTCTGAAAAGACAGAGTATCAAAGTTTTGTTTCTTTTTTAACCATAAACATGTCTACTCTGTACTTTTACCTGATGGGCCTTAAATGCAAAACATTACACCCCTCCTGAGGACCAGGCTGAGCTTGGACTCTCCTCCGAGGAGCGCCCTCTTTCTTGTGGTTGAGTCTGTCTGCCTGCAGTGGTGAGCTGAGAATCTCACCCCTTGGAGGTGGAGGAAGAGGGTGTCTCTCTAGCATCTATTTCTGTAGGAAATTGCTATATTGTATAACTTGGAAAAACTAGACACTTTATAATGTGAACCTAAACTTCTGTAATTGACTGGACACTGGATGGATGGTGGTCTGCGGGGCTCTCTCTCCCTCCGCCTTGTTCATGGGGGAGCCACCTGGACAGCTGCCTTTGTCACCTGGAGGCAGCTGTCAAGGATAAGGTTGAGGGGACGGTGCCACATTCACCTAGTGCTTAACCAAGATGGGGCATTGTATATACAGCTGTTTGCTCATTAAGAGATCTGCTACTGATGACGGGAAAGGACATACAGCAAGAAGCCATACAGCGAGAAGCCAGAGCTTGTCCTGGTTCCTCCCCGCACCAGCTCTGTGCCCTCGGACAAGTCACACAAACTTCCAAGAGTCATGGTTTCCTCAGCTATGAAAAATGTGGACTGTATCTGCCCCAATAATTTCGGAGAACTGTGAGGATTAGAAGAGATTGTGAAAGTGCTTGGTAAATTAATGTACAAATATAAGCAGTTGCTCCTTTGGGACAGGCAAGCTGAGCATTTGGGCAGGAACCCTCAGAGATATCACTAGCTAAGTCCACAGGCAGTGTTGCTGCCTATTTCTCAATCTGTGGGATTGTGTGTGCCCAGTTCTGTGAAATGTGTTGAAATCTGCCCACACGAGATGTGGACTTAAGATGGTGCTACAACTAGGGTGGCTATAAATCCTGCAATCAGCCAGGCTACTTTAATGGGGAAAAAAATGATAAAACAAGTACGCGAGGGGCACTGTTAGACCAGGGACTCTGGGGCCAACAGGAGCGGTAGAAGGTCCGCCCTGGTCCATCCTGCTGCCCCCCAGGAACTGCAGGCTGAGACGAAGGGCTCTGAAACCAGGGCCACGGGCCGGGGAGGACCATATGCCTGAACCTGTCAGAAGGGATACATAAATTAAAAAGAAATTTAGGGGGAGATCCAATTTAGAAACAGAGGCAGATGATATTACTCTTGTCTCCCTTACATCACTCTGAAGATAAGCTCCTTCAAAATTTCCAGAAGGAAACGATCAAATATCCCTGCCTATACGATGACTCCAACTTACTACTTGTTCTCCAGGTTTTACCTTTGATGTCCAGGCACAAAGACACCGAGCAGCTCAGGGGGCTTCCGAGGCGGCCGCAGAGGCGGTGCGGCGTAGGGCGCATACACAGTGGAGGCCAGCCCCACTCGGGGCTACCAACTGGGCCCCGGGGCCAGTGTGGTTAAATGGCACTGTGTATGGTCTCTAGAGGAGGAATATGAGAAAGTTTTCTGGAGTGTGAATTTTCTTAAGAGCAATAGGGAGCTCGTGAAGTACAAATGTCGGTAGGTTTTTCAGTGTAATCCAGAGCTGAGAATTCTGATTCCCAACACAGAATCCAATGTTTAAGGACTTGCTTAGGGGCTTGATTAGGGTTCGGAGGACCCCGCAGAGGAAGGCATTCATTTCATCATGTTCACGTCTGAGCTGCCTGCACCTGATCGGGCTGCTCTAGTTGCCATGCACTAGACTCCTGACCAACTACAGCGAGGGGCTGCTGCTTTTCCCATCTTTACTTTCCGGTTGGCTCTCCAGTCACTCCACCTGAGGAGACGCCCTTCTTCCCAACCCTGGCAATTAGGCAGAATTCTTTTCCCTAAGAGTGCCCCCCTTAGGGTACCAACCACAGAGTGGGAGAGCCTGGTGTCACGGTGAGTCCTTTCTGCAGAGGCCTTCAGTCAGCTGGACGGTGATGCTCCCACAAGCCCCCCGAGACCCTGGGGAACTCTGAGGTTAAGAGCTGACTTCAGTCCCAACCCCAGGCTCCTGCCAGTCCCACCTAACCAACTCGGCCCGCAGTTTAAACACTTAGGAGCTCTTTATTTCTGATGTAGAAAAGGACCCTTTCTCTTTCCATGGAGGTGGTCTGATACAGAAAGGAAGGGGTTTTGTTCACATCAGAGCCAGTCCCGTTTTCTGGTCCTCCTTTGTGGGCCCCAGGTGCTTCTCATGAAGTGGTGTTTTAGGGGGGCTGGTGGACCTTTTGCCACTTCCTCTGCTCCCAAGGGAGCAAGAGGGCAGAGGTGGCAGCCGGGGGGCAGCTAGGGATGGTCAGTCTCGCTCACCAGGAGTTTGAAAAAGGGGCATCCACCCCCTTTCTACTTTTGCCTTACAGGGACCGGCATATCAGTTGCATGTAAATCCTAGAGACACACTTGCCCAACTGGAAATTGAAGAACTAGTGCATTTTTCCCGAAGCAGAGACTAACTCCTGGATTAAAAAAAGGGCACAAACAAAAAATAAAGTACCACGCATATTGCACTTTTTGCTGAATGATGAAATTTTTACCTCATGTTCATTTCACTGAAGTCTCTTCAGAGGATCCTGGTTTACAAGATAATAAAGCTAATGATTATTATACAGTAGTGTACACACTGCTAATGTGAAACAGACTGGAAAGTCATTTCAAAGTAGCCTCATAAAAAGAGTGGTATTAAGCCTTCTTAGTGTTACTTTAGTGTTTGTGAAAACTGCTTGGAAGCTTATACAGGTCACTAATTAGGGGACAGAGCAACGCAGATGACCAGACAGGGCTGGGAAAACAGCACCTGACCAACAGAATCAGTCTCCTCTCACCAGCTCACATTTCAGTAAATACACATGGTTATGGAATTTATTGATTTCTGCTTGAAATGAGAAAGGCAAATAGGAACTTAGGACATAGGTTCAGCCAGACAGGTCACGCTATTCCCCAGGTGAGCGTCTGTGCCTCTAGTCTGTCCCTAACCCATGTCTACCTCCAGGTCCTTTTGACTCCCAGCAGCCTCTCTGCTGCCCCTCCGCCGGCCTCATCGTCTTGCCATAGGTCTGAGGCTTCCTGGGCTAAAAGGCATGCAGCCTTGTTGGGGGCAGGTGTTAATGCCCATCAGTAATTGTGCCATTCCTGTGACTATGAAATGAGCAGCCCCCATTTTCAATATGGAAGGCATTTAAGTTTCATAAATATTATAGCACTTCAGATAGTATATTTTGGAAAAACACCCTTCAGTCTAAACAAATCAAGCCATTTTAGAACTGGCATATTTTGCAAAGACTTAAAACAGAGGAGAGATCTTAATGGAAGGATCTCTTAAATGAAATATCTATTTCACGAAATCATCAGTCTTAAGCATGAGGAGGAATAAACAATCCATAGAAGGAACACAATTTATTCTTGGATTGCCACTGTGTGTTCTTAACTCACAAAAGCCACAGTCCTCCCCAGCACCCTTTCTGGCTAACCCCCAGTACCCAGCCCCACACAGGGGGCCCCCACGAAGCGTTCCGGCGCCCAGTGGAGCCAGGAACAAGAAGGGCTGCTCAAGGCACCAATGCTGGCAGAGCCTGGGCTGGGGGGCAGAGCAGACCTCCCGAAACCGTCCACGCTTCTCACCTGCCTGGACACTTACTACAAAGAGGAAAGGCAACTTAAAGGTGTTCCTAGATGCAGCATCAATGTAGTATCTGTCTCTGCTTTGTGCTTTAAGGAAGATGCTTGTGCTTAATGCATTCATCTGCTGATAGGACAAGCCATTCTTAAGGACAGAAATGATAGTCTTTGTAAATAATACTGAATTTGTAACACTTTGTATGTTGTTGTCCAAATGACAGATTACTCCTTACTTCTAGGTACACAGTTAACTTGCTGTAGCATCTATTTTTTACGTACTTTGATGAATGAATTAATGATTAAGTTTTACTAGTAATATAATGAGTTTGGCAGATGATTTGCTTAAGTGGTTAACACATCTGTGGTTTTTGAATATTGCTGTAATACTTGAACATTTAATTACAAGTCAAAACTTTAAGGAAATTAAGAATGCAATTCCCACATGGTGGAAAACAAACTCTGAAGTGACTTTGGATTTAGCATTGACATAAATGGAAAACTGTTGGTTTCTACAGAAAAGAAATAATTAAAGCGTGATCTGGGGGGAAAAGGCACAGCACTACCACTTCACATGGGAGATAAAAGTTCATTTTTCTTGTTCTTAAAATTTCTAAGCCCTATATGAAACTGTCCAAATATACAAAGCTCAATAAACTACTAGCATCATATAGTGTGAAGTCAAAGTAGGTTTTACACTTTAAAAGAGCCGCTAGGCCCTCTAATGACCCCCTGCCCCGAACCGGAAGTCTCCACATCAGATTTTGTAGGAAAAGCCCGCCTTCCCCTGGCCCAGGGCTGGTACTCGTGATGGTTTCTCGTTTCTCGTCGCCCGCCCCCCCACCCCCCCGCCCCGTCTCCACTACGTAGGTGGGGGGTGGGTCTCCTGTTGGTTCTACAGGCAACATCTTTGGAGCCCAGCACACCGATTCTGTGACCCAGGGTACCTTCTAAAGAGGCGTGCTGCCTGCTGCCCCGTGGAGAGGGCCGCTCGTCTTGGGGGTTAGTACCAGCGGGTGTTTAGTGGCCCTTGAAACAAAGCTCACACTCCACTGCTTTGTGATGGTCCTGGGGACAACTTGCATCAGCAGCTTAGAACTTTCGCTTCAATGACAAAGTACAACTTTACTTCCTGTGCATCAAATTTCATTACATATCCTTGACTTGCCTTTAAGCAACATGTTCCTTGGCTTCAGTGAAAAATATTGCCTCTTTTTCCCCACATATAATGGCACGCAGTTTTCCTGCATTCACCAAGGTTTTCCTCGATAATTGGTGTCGTTCTGGATAAAACCTAGGTCTGGATGTCTTCTTACAAAAACACTTGTCAGTGTCTTCCGCGAGAGCTTGCTCCACTTGACCTAAGGGCATGAGCTTCAGCCTACAACTATGTTGCAGCACTTGCCACAGAAAACTACGGGGGCGGGGGGCGGGGGGGGGGTCAGAGCCAGGAAGAAGCAACACTAACCTGGCCAGGCCCTCTGATTCCAGTTGGGCAACTTGATTTTTCCCCCTAGGGAGAGGGCAGGAAAATAAGCTTTAAATGTAAAAGGCTGGAATAAAAATAAAAACACACATTCTTCCTACACTTGACCTGCCTCACTTCTGTGCTGAGGTTAATTCACCAGGACATAGCCACTGTGCTGTGGGTCCACGGCCTCCAGCATTTCACAATCAAAGAGTCCGGGGAACTCAGAGAGGGCTAGGGGGTCGTAGCTGGAGGGCGCCTCCTGCAGTCCTGAGCTCCTGGGACAGTCTGGTGCTGCTGCTCCACTCTGCTGGGCTCCGTCCACAGGGTACTGACAGGGAGCGGGATAGTCTGGCTCAGGGGAGATGGTGCCTGGCAGCTCACAAGTCTGATAGGAGAACTGCAAAGGCGCTGGGGCAGCTCCCGACTGTTGAGGTGGAGGAGGCGGTGGAGGAGGCGGTGGCGGCGGCTGCTGCTGCAGGTGTGCCTGAGGGCCTTGTGAGGAGGGCAGGGGCTGCAGCTGCATCTCCTGGTACTGGCTGAGGAAGGGGCTGTACTGCATTTGCTCAGAAGCAGGCTCCAGGACGGGGCTCAGCGGCTGGGCCAGGCTGAATGGTGGGGGCTGCTGTGATGGCGATGGCGTCTCCTGGTGGGCAAGGGGTAGCTGCTGACTCGGCTGTGGGTACGAGCTCTCAGCTATCTGCATCTGATTAAAATAGGCCTGCAGCTGAGACTGTTTCTGGAGGAAGAGTCGCTTCTGTTGGAGTCTACATTGGCAAAACCAAAAGAGAGAATTTTAAATCTTCAGTGATGGCAATTTTAATGTAAAGCCAGCATCAGTCACCTGCTTCTCATTCTGTGGCAAAAAAAAAAGAGGGCGGAGGAACAAATCCTGTCGGCTTTCTTAAACCTCATCTTATGTTTTGTCTCCCAGTTCTGACTGGTCCCTCAGTGCGAGTGTGAACACTACTAACTCATTTTCTCTAAGACTCTTGAGTTTTTCTCCCTATGAAGCAAGAGGCTCGATTTCACATCTAGAGGGTTTTGGTGGGGTGGTGGGGGAACACCTGGGCCTCGACAGGTGTCTTTGGTTGATGGAGTAGGAAGGCCTGGAGAACGGGACTTACTGCAAGGGAGGATGGAGGCCTTTTCTGCAGTATAAACCACTCAACTGGCGCTAGGTCACAGACTCTGAAGGCTTAGGTCTACTTTTAACTCTAAGGGGAAAGGTGAGAAGGAAACAAAGTACATTTAAAGCTGCTACTCCTTCGTAGGCCCATATTCCATGGACACATTAGTGACTATGCCTTGAAGACTGGTTCGTGCATCAAAAGCCTATTTTCTTAGTAGAGGCAAACACCAGGGGGAAGGGACACACACCCAGCATTCTTAAGTCTTCCATAAAAGAAAGTGACTTCTTTGGCCAAAGACCCTCTCTCACCTGTGTTCCTGCAGCTGCTGTTCAAGGCTCCGTGGTGGTTCTTTACAATAAAGCTGACAGGTATTCTGGGCTTTTGACAGAAGGCTGGGCTTCTGGAAGAGCAGAAAATAATGTAAGCACAGCTGTGTATTACCATCTAGGGTGTAGTCATCAGACCGTATCGCTGCCTACAGGATGAAGCCAAGTGTGTCCTCCACAATCCATGTGGGGTGAGAGGGGATTGACGATGTTCACTGAGACCCTGGTAGAGCTGTGGGGCCGACAGCTTTGAGTCAGCAGGCCTGGGCTGTCTCAGCTCTAACCTACTTCCATCTTCCATTTCTAAAAGTTCACTAGGACTGTGAGGTTCATGGAGATTTTAAAAACAATGAGAAAAGTAGGGTTAAATATTGATAACAAAGGCTGCAGCACCTGCTGAATGAATAGGCACCAATGTAGATAGCTGGTATTAAAAATTTGCAGACTTGAGATTTCCATTTTATTTACTATTCGTTATGAGGCATAACATTAGAAGCAAAGAAGCCATGCTTCCCTTTCCTGCCACTCCATGGTGTTATCTTTTCCTGGGGCCTGAGAACAAACCCACCAACACAGACCATAATGCTAAGTCTGAACACGCTCCTAGAAACTAGAAGTGCACCATCAAACCTACCCGCCCATCAAGAATCAAACTGCTACCCTAAAAACAAACAAACAAACAAACAAACAAACAAACAAACAAACACGCAAAACAGGTTTCTGCTGTTCAGAAAGCCGATTCTGGACTAGCACAGTGAGCTGGGGTAACACGGGGAGGGTCCCACCTGGAGTCTGTGCTGCAGGTACTGGGCTTCCAGGCTCTGCCGCGGCGACAGTTGAGGACGCACGTTGGCGGGGAGAGCGGAAACACTTTTCTGCTGCTGAGATACTTCCTCCTGAGGAGCAAGAGGGAGAAAACATTTTCAATTCTCCATGTAGGAGAAAGTTTTAGTTTCAGTTGAAGCACCTTGGCAAATGTCCAAGAGGAACTCCAACTCTGTAAGACGTAATCCTCAAAGCCTTTTTCACAACGAGTACGCTGAGGGTTAATCATTAGGCAGAAAATCTATGCATGGATTCTCTGTTGTGAACGATCATCTAGTCAGTATCAGAGCAAAGGCTCTTTGTTACTAGGAGGCCATTACCTGCATGTGGGCCTCAAATGCTATAATATCCTCGATGCACCAAAAATAGTGCTCATTATAAAATTTATTGGCTAAACAGCAGTATTTTTTGTATCTTTAGCATAAATAATCCATTTATAGTATTTAGTAAAGTGATAGCACATCAAAAGTAGTGGAAAGAAGCTCCTCACCTGGGTAAAGTTTATTACTCTTAATTTTTGTGTATGTGCTGGGGGGGACAGGGGAGTCTAAAGGAGACTCTAAAAGGTAACTCATATAACATCTGCCTTGTGAACCAAACAGCTTGACAGGGTCAAGGCCTCCATGTGGTGCTGAACACCTTGGTCCGTGTAGACAGGTCTAACCTGTCAGTGGAAAGTGGCAGCAACAAGGAAAGTTTTCCAAAAGAGCCTGTTTGTTCCAGGACTGGAGTAAATCCTCTAAATGAAATGATGTGTCTTCAGGACGAACTCACTCCTCACACTCACAGAGCCACGGTGGACAGGGCCCGGAGCACTCACCTGAGGGCAACTGCTGGCCAGGTCTTGGAGCTGAGGAGCAGCCGACGCCAAGTTCGGGTCTGCCTCTGATCCTATTTGTTCATACAGCAACTGTACTTTGTTCAACTCCAGGATTCCTTTGGTTCTAGCCAGATTCTGAAGGTGTTGTCTAAATGCTACAATTCCTGGAAGAAAGTGCAGTGACCAAACAGTTTAAATAAAACACAAGGCCTTTTACTGACCACAAGTGTGGTATCAACAAGGCAAGAAACCCCTTTAAATCCTACCAGATAAGCGTTTTAAAAGTTAGAAGGGAAAAAGCAGTCAGTTACCTTGGGTGAGGGAGGTATCCGAAGCCCTGCGGCCCTCTCTGAAGCTTACTGGCGACCTGTTGTGGGCCTCTCTTTTTTGGGAGCTCAGAGCCTGCATGGCTGGGTTGGCAGGTCTCAGGCTTATGAAGGGAGATGTCATGCGAGGTGAAGGCTGGTTGGCTAACATGAGGTCCTTAAGGGAAGGGTTGTCCTCCAGGAAGTTCAGGTCCCTCTGGACAGACCCCATATCATACTCAGAATCCACACTGTCAAGGGAGGGGTTGTCACTCATGGAGAAAATTTTTCCTTTAAGAGAGAACAAACATATATGACAAACAGCAAATAGCAACTTTTTTGAGTAGGAGATACAAAGCTCAGCGAGCCTGAGTTCTCACAGATACAGTGCCCTTAATCTCCAACCAACACACCTTTTCAGAACCTTTTTACATGTCAGTTTAATCAGCTTTGAAGTTAGTGGAGAGAACACTACAGAACCCATACCCACCAGCTCTTTGCCACTCCCCAAGTGCCAGGGTCCTTGATGAGTCACATGGCACTCAAATGAAGTCTGGCAGTTTGGGGAGCCAACCCAGAGACAACTCACTTAACTCTCTGTAGCTGCTGAGCAGGCCCGATCCTTCAGCCTCCTGAATGCTGTCCATGAAGGAAAAAACAGACTGACTTCTCCGGGTGAAATTCTCCATTATGGACCTCATTCTAGGAGCTGGTTGGTATGATTACTGTTTCTTAGAGATGGGACTGTGAGTTGATGCTGTGAAAACTTAACCTGGAGCTTAATGCACCTCATACCTGAACCAGGCATCATGAACAGCTGATTGGTCACTTCTGACAGAGTGTGCCGCCTCTGCCCACTGCGTGTGGACTGGAACGCATCAAAGGCCTGACTGGGGTCTTCCTCAGCCTCTCCTTCCGTCTCCAACCCTTCATCAATGGAGGTCTCCATCATGTTGCTGGGCAGCGACTGGCACCCCTTCTTCACCAGGACAGGAGGCACAGGGTCCAGCAGACAGCCATTGACCTGCACACCAATGTGAGAGGAAATGATCAGCTGCTGCTCTGAGGAGATGTTAGAGAAATCCACAAGGAAAAAAATGTCAACACTTGTGGCTAATTAGAAATTAAATAAAATGTACTAAAAATGTGTATATTTGTTACTAATGACCACATGAAGAGGCAAAACAACTACAGCACTTAAGAGACAGAAGCCCATTATGACCCAAACTGGCGCTGCCTCCCAGGATTCTATGAGTCATCATTATTACAATAAACAATTTTTTTTAGTGGTTTTGAGATGAATTGAGGGCATATTAGGTTCAGGCCTACCGGTTACTTTTTAAAAATAAGGGAAATGAAGAAGGGGGAAGATTTTTAAAAATGCATGGCTCAGAGTGAAGGAAAAAAGAGTAGTACCAAGCATTCTTTTAATTCTCAACCACAAAACATACCGTGAGGTTCTAGACAGGCTTTTATGTTTGTAATTTAAGTACCTGCCTATTTGATTTAGTCTTTAATTGGTTCTATGTGCCTGAGGAATGGAAAAAAGAATTATTTAAAGATGGACTGATACCACAAAAAGGATTGAAAAAAAAAATGCAACTGGCAAACAGAGCCTCACATTATAGAATAACAAATGACGCTCAGCCCCAAATTCCTGCAGAGGTTAATGCGCACCAGTGCACTGAATCCTCTGTCCTCCAGCAACCTACACAATACCTGTAGTTCCTGTCCCATGGGGTGAGCTCTGCATAGCTCCTGAGTGAGAACTCTGGCCTCTTCCTAAGCAGTTGCCCAGCAAACCCCCTAAGGGCGGCAGAAACAGCAGACAGCCCGTGGTTGCCTGTTCCTCTGGCTGGTAAAAGCCCCAATGAGGAAGCAATTATTTACCTCATTACCTTAACTGTTCCCCTGTGGAAATCAATCTTTTTTCTCCTATGAATAGCTAGCTGCTCAGGAACAGCCTAAGCAGCACTTTCACCTGGAATACACTGGGTAGAGCTATTGTTTCCTTTGGAAGCAGGCAGAACACATGTGTGTGAGAGGTGACGTGGGACATCTCCGTGCCAGACACAGGGAACTTTCCTCTTATGGCAACTAATCTGAAGGCGCTGGAAGGCCCTTTATTTGGAGAGGGAGACTTGGGTGACTCAGATCTTTGTTTGTTTGGGGGAGGGGATGATAATTCCATAAACTGTTCGGGGGCGGGGGGTGCCTGCAGCCATTACTTGGGTAAGGTGGCAAATGCACACAGCATTTTAAAGGGAGGAGTGGTTATTTAAAAGGAAGAGGGGCAAATGCTTTCTTTCCAGACAAAGACCAGTCTTCCCCATGGCACCAGCAAAAACTCTGAAATCTGGCCAACTCTTACTCTCCCCTTGGCCCTTCCCCAGATAAGTTTTCCTTTTTTGACTACACTTAATACTGGTAGTTCTCTTGTAAGAAAGAATGGCTGGCTGTTTGGGAACTTATATTCATACCTCTAGGTTCCTTAACTGTCTACTAATACAATTTTCTAAGATTAGCCAAGGATGAGTTAGAAATGAATAAAGCAACGGAGAAAAGACTGTTATTAAGTAATTGTCTATCTTTATGCTTACAGCCTGTGTCAAAACTTGATCAGATATTTCTTGCAGTACAGTCTTACAATCATGTTCTTTTTTTCTTTTATAGAGAAAAGTTACTTTTTTCTGAGTACTCATAAAGCCTTTCAGTCTCCGGAAATTTATAATTTTTCCCTCAAATTATCTACTTATAAATTTATCTCATCTAAACTATATGAGGAATTATGTCTTTTATTAAAATATGTTTACTGAATTCAATTTCATACTGGGGCAGGTAGAAAACAATGACTGTTTCTCAGATGAGGCCTAATGATTAAATCAGAAAACACTCTGGAGTCCTGCTCATAGGTGTGAACACCTCAACTATCAGTTCATTTCCGGAACCAGGTGATAATCATGCCACTCTTCCTTGTCAATTTACTACCAGGGAACTTGATATAAGAGCTTAAATTCAACTGTAGAATTTTGTGACCGAAATATTGGGCTGATCTACCTCGGCTGCTAGAAATACAATCTTTTGCTCTAGGAAATAATGTAGCCTAATGGTAAATTGCAGTAATTCAAAACACAGCACTGGTGAAATGTACATTTTCCCCAAACACTGTTTTTTCTCTCTCCTTAAAGTTTAATCAATCACTTCATTTCTGGTAAGAGACTTCCTATACATGTAGGACTGAGAGACTCTACCACTGAGCCTACCACAAATGCAGGCGTAGCACAGGACACTGGCAGACTATTATGGGCCCAGTGTGTCTTCCCCAACCCTGAGGTGGCTGCATCTGGAGAAGGGACCTCAATGGAAGTGTAGTTAAGTGAGGTCATAAGGGTGGGCAACTGATCTGGTAGGACTAGTGTCGTTATAAGAGACACAAGAAAGCTCGCTCTCCCAACACAAGCACAGAAGAAAGGCCATGGAAGGACAAAGTGAGAAGGTTGTTCTCTGTAAGCCAAGAGAGCCCTCACCAGGAATCAAACTGACTAAAACTTTGATCTTGGACTGTGAGAAAATACATTTCTATTGTTTAAGCCACCCAGCCTGTGTTATTTCATCACGGCAGCCCAAGTTGACTGAAGCACAGCCAGCTGAATTTGGAGGCTGCGAATGTGGCTAACTTAACGTATACCCTGAGCGCCCAGCAAGTTTGGCATATGTTCAGGTGGTGCTGCAGGCTCAAACCTCAGCTCTATCACTTATCAGCAAGTTGCCTAACTTCTATAAAGTTCAATGTTTTTCACTTGTAAAATTAAAGTTGTTGGGGAGGATTAACTAAAATAATATATGTAAAATAACACAGTACTTTAGGTATTCAGTATATTGTATCTATTATTATTTCTTGACCAAGAGAATACTTTATAGCAATAGAACATTTTAAAGCAAGAGACTAAAACTACATCTTCTTTTAAAGCATTTTTACCATCTTGAGTCAAGTTAAATAAACAATTAGCCAAAGAATAAAAGTCCTGGATAACACCAGTACTAAAAATTTCTCCAAAGGAGATAATCAGAGGCACACGCAAAGATTTAGACACAAGAATATTCACCTGAAGCATTTAGGAGGATGAAAAAACATTCTGATATTCAAAAATAGGACAGTACAAAGTTAAATGAGGGTACATCTAATACAATATATTAGGTAGTTAAATATAACTCATGCTTTCAAAGATTTCATGATATGGGAAAAATGCTCATGATGCTATAATAGGTAAAAGCATGATATAAAATGACACAGAATAGAACATAATTTTATTTTAAAAAGTCTACCAACTTACTGAGCCATCCTACTCTTACCCACCCACTCACCTGCCCAACTGTCTATGATCCCCTTAGGAACTATGTCAAAACAGCCTTCTCCTTGGGAAGTGGGATTATGGATTAAGTTAATTATTTCCTTTATTCCTTTCTTAATTTTCCATTCATGAGTCTTATTGGTTTTATTTTTTCCAACTATAAGTTAAAAAATGCAAATTCAGAATAGTGCAATTTCTTCCCTTTACAAAAACTTAGAGGTTAACACTATTAAGAGTTTGCTGTATATCCTTTTCAGACATTCTCTTATGTGCTGTACTACCTCTATACTAACAAGTTATTAAAAATGTAAATAGACACAAAACATCTTTATTGCATTTGCATTTTCTCAGTTCAGACTCATAGTTCCCTTCTGCTATCCAGCTATGAAAGGGTTAACTGGGAAATCCAGTTATTATAATCTCTAATAAAATGTTAAAAGTGACTGACATGAGTGTGTATAAAAAATTCATGATTCCAGCCCTGACTGTTGTGGCTTGGTTGGGTATCATCCCACAAAGCGAAAGGTCGCCAGTTTGATTCCTGGTCAGGGCACATGCCTGGGTCGTGGGTTTGGTCCCTGGTCAGGGTGCGTTCAAGAGGAAACCGATCAACGTTTCTCTCTCACATCCATGTTTTTCTCCTACTCTTCCTCCCTCCCTCCCCTCTCCCTAAAAATAAATAAATTAATAAAATCTTTAAAGAATTTTCATAATTCCCAAAGAAACCCTCAAAAGAGACAGTGCCTCAAAAGAAAGACGCTACAGGGTCTGTTCATCTGCCCTCCATCTGATCTCTTTGTCACCGGGGGTCTCAGTTCCTGCTCAGAGTTGGGAGACTTTCTTAGAAAGGTGCTGTTTTTTGGAGGCATCCCAAACCAACATTTCAACACAAACCTAGGATTTTACTGACAGTTTTAAGTTGAAGACTTAGGGGCAGGAATGAGAAGGGAAACCTCTGAGATGCACAATACCTGCCACCATTTGATAGTAGAAATGAATAAGCAATATGTGCAGTTAGGAAGCATCTACTAGAAGACAACAAATGGTTGTTGTAGTAGTAAACACAGATGAAGCGATATGAAAAACAAAGGAACTGTACTTCTGACAGGTTGGGGTGTGTGCATTTATTGATGGGTCCCAAGAAAGGGGTACAAGGGAGGGAAAAAGGATAAGCATTTTTTGCCGACATAAACAAAACGGTCCACAAATAAAACCTGTGGATGTTCATGGCCTAAGTGCCAAAGCAGCTCAGCTAGTGTGGGTGGCCAGTTCTCGAGTGGCACTGCTTTTCCTACAAACACAAATACACCATCTAGGTACTATCTATATCTTTCACAAAATCATTCATTTCCTGTCTGTTTCCTAGTTACGGTAGCAATCACAAGCTTTAAAAATAGCTTGCCCTATATAACACATCAGACAGCACCCAATCTGTATTTCAGGCCTGATGCCCTCACAGACAAGATTTTAGCAGAGTGCAATTTATTTTTTTCCAAGGGACTTGTATCTTAAAAATAAATTATGTTGTCCCAATTTATGTCTAACTTTCTGGGTGAGAATGTAGTAGCAGCAGTTTATGAGATTATCGAACATGCTAGGCAACCACAACAGAGGAAAGAAAAGACTGTCCACAGGAAGTGGTGTTCTTAGGGGCATGGACTCTAACTCCTGT